AAAAGGAGGACGCATCGCGCTCTCATTGCTTCCAAGCATTAATTTTACTAGGTTTGTTCGGTTTTTTAAATCATTTTTTATGAATTCCAATAAGATTTTTAGATGACACTGTAAAAGTTTAAAGGTCGAGTTTATTCGTTTATGTATCTGTTTTCATTTACGTAGCTTACGATCGCTAACTATTTTAAGATAAACTTGGGGTTTCATATTTTCGCGAAATCTTTTCTACTTCACAATTCCACCTCATTTTTTGCTCAGTATTTTGATATTTACAAGTTTTTTTTTTATTTTTACTTATTAGTTTTTAGTTACAACCTTTTTCATAACCATAAAATATTCAAATTTGAGTCCATGTTGCCATTGCTTGTTCATTTTTTGTTCCAGAACTTGCGAGAATTTTTTCAAATTTATTTTGCAACAAATTCGAATGTTTGCATTTTTTGCACATTTCTCAAAAAACTTTTGCGCAATTGCATTTTTGAATATCTATCAGATAACTGAACTGCGGGACGAAAAAAACTAATAAACGTAGCTCTAAAGTGGCATCTTGAGCAAAAAAATAATTTCAAAAATATCGTCTTTGTTTTTGGATGTATGAAACATGATTCCACTTTTCAAATTTTCCTGTGTTTTGAGATGTAATTTTAGGTTCAAACATAGGTTAATGTCATAACCCAAAAAGGCAAGATGTAATTTAAACATCCTATTCGAGCAAAATCGGCAGATATGAAGATGGGCCATTTTGGCCGCTAAATTGCCTGAAGCTTACGTTTTTGTGCATTTTTTCTGCATCTATGCAATGCAAAAACGCATATTGTCGAAGGGTTATCTGTGTATATGTGTGTCTTTGTGTTAGTCATTTTTCATCACAAGACCTACAAAAGCTGAAATTTTGGGAACTTAATCCACATGCAAATTCGGGCCTTTATCTCCAAAATGGGCACTCTTACCTACGTGGTCCCCAAGTACAGGCCCCGTGAATGTTTTTTGCGGGTAGGTTGCTAACTTGGGAACCAGAAAAGCTAGAAAACTGAAATCTTAAGGGGATGTTTCTTGACAGTCCTGGCGACCAGTTTCAATTCTTTTAGCTAGGAGCATCTGCTGGAAAAACCGGTGCCGTTAGCGACAAAAATCTTCAAGGAACTATGCAAGAAACTCATCTTCGTACCGGCAGTTGGTGCGCTGGCCAGTTATTGTATTTTTATTAATACTTTGTTTCTTCAGGGGGCAAAACGAAAGTCAGGATCTCCAATAAGCCGATCACCAGGTGGTGCAGGATTGGTCAAAGCAGCTGGAAAAGTTGCCAATTGAATGGTTGAAAAACTACGCTATGAAATGCAGCTGAATTAATTGTCAGAGTTTCGCTGTGTTGTAGGGATAAGGAGATTTTGTGTTTGTAATATTTCATAAATCCTGTGCCAAATTTGGTAAGGATTAGGTTAAGGAAGAGGCGAAGATACGTCACCGTAAAGTCACATTGCTAGGGTGCACGCATTCATTGCCTCTCAGCAAGCGACTAATTACGAAAACTCATGATCGCATGATCCCTCATGATCCCTTTAGTTATCGCTGTGTGCTGCACGTGACCTCACAGTCATCTGTTTTAAGGAAATTATTTTCCCGTAATAAGCAGCAGCAGCAGCAAACGAGTTCCTGGCGAATATTCAGCAATAAACATGCCAAAAAAACCGGCTCAACAGCGGCTCCCTCGACCGCTTTGGCCGGTACTGCAGATGATCTGTATTGCTCCACAACTGGTTTGATATTGGAAGATAGGCCAAGGTTCAACTTCCCGCTTTTCATCATCTTCCATTGTTTATAAACTAGAAATTGATGACTTGGCACAGCTTTATTCAGGTTTTAATCAATTTCCACCGACAAAGAGTCTGAAAATGACCACTTTGAGAAAGAAATTTATGGACATTTGTAGAATGAATGGGGAAATACTGTTGGATGGGGAAATTCTGGGCTGATCATTAATTCTACCGATAATATGACAATTCAAAATGCTTAAACAAATAAGCCTTGACCGAAGAACCCGGCTTGTTTGAGCTGGCTTACGGGCTGCATTTTCAGATAGGGGTTCGAGTGAATCCTTCTAGGGCACTGGCGGTTTTTCCAGTAAATATCAGTCTCTCTTGGCTGTCCTGTTACCTCTTTTCTTAACTAAATGCCCATCTCGGCCCCTGTCTCTGGTGTACGTTACTACACTGTCGCTGTTGCAGTAATCTGCCGGCGAAATCAGTGGAGGAGCAGCGACGCCATCAAGCGCAATACCAAGCACTTATTGAGGCAGCGAAACGTAAAGAAGCTCGTCGTGCTTGTCAGCGGAAAAAATTTCTTGAGATGAGAAGAAAGGAAGAGGAGGAAGCTGCTGCCGCGGTACGGGTATGGTCCAACGAAATATTGCCCAACTGGGAACACATGTTCGTTTTTTTCGCATCCTTTAACACTAACTTCTCATATATAAACCATAATGTTGGTGCTGAACTTTGTGGAATAAATTCTGGAATAAATTGATCGGAACGAAGTTCGCCTCGGACCCTGGACCTGCACCGGCTCTCAATCAATGGAGACAGAGGATGCAAAGCGAATGTCCAGCGTAGACCCGGACCTACTGAGGAGCTCGTTTGACTGGATCCTCAAACGTGCGAAACCCTGGGAAGCCCCAGGCCCCGATGGGATCCAGGCTTTCTGGTGGAAAAAGCTACCCTCAGTGGCAGCAGCCTTGTGAAGCATACTTCTAATTTTACTAAAAAACTGGATGTGTAAATAATTCAGAACCGAAGTGCTTGGCGCTGCTGCGCTGGATTTATGGGGGCACCTCAGTGACATCGTTTAATCGCATCCCCACGTGGGCCATCCAGATGTCCTTGGCATTTTTAATTTTTATTAGTGATATATATTTGAATACTCGGCTTTCAGTTTTCGGCCCAATTCTGATTTTCAGTCAAAATGAATGTGTGGATAGTCGGTCGAGAGATTGGTTTTCTCTTTTTTCTTTTTTAATCTTTTTCGAATATCGCGGGTCGAATACTATGGACCGTAAAAAGCGTCTTGGAGCAGGAAGCGAAAATCTGCAGTTTCTATGAGCTGGAATTGCCTAGTCATCATGAAGCTTTTTTAGGAAAGATACGAAGCGATGCCATGAACTGTGGTGGCGCGGAATCCCATCAAAAGTACGTGGTCAGGTTTGGTCATTGGTCATTGGCAATGAATTGAATTTAACACCAGGTTAGATTTTGAGGCTATTTTCGTATAAGCTGCTCGCCAATTTCCAGACCTGTCGTACTGATATAATCAGCGATATCAACGGGTATTACCTGAAGGGAATAGAGCTGGGAGACAGATCCGTTTCATGTGCATATCAAACTTTCGTTGGACAATAAAAACTGCAGACAGCGTTTCAAAATAGTAAGGCCTGT